ATGGATTAGTTGACGGATCTGAATATGAAGGTTATTGAAGGTAGCTTTGGGGTTTTGGAGATCCATTGTGAAAAGGAGGAGATCATCGAGTATCTATATTTAAGCTGTTCATTGCATTCACCGTTAGACCTCAAGAATTCTTCTGGAATATTGAATACATCTCTTTCCCTCTCTTACTCTTGCCCACAAGCACATAATAATTCTCAGAACTTCGTGTTGTTGAATTTCTTTAAGACTTACTCTAAAACTTTGCTATTTCAGGGAATGTCCATTGGAACCTGGGCATCGTTTCTTGCCATCTACTGATCAGTACTTGTTAATGAGTCCAAGAGGCATACATAGGTTTGTGAATTAATAATGATGTTTATATTTTTATGTACCAAAAAAATGATGTTTATATTTTTTATTTTCAGTATTTCTTTAGAAGTGAAATTTTGCTTTAGAAGTCAAATCCTCATCCATAATACTATCATTTCCTTTACTTATTTTTTCCTCATAATCTGTGAATCTGCTTTCTTGGTGAGTTAGTGTGGTTGAGATTATTGATAAATTGCCCATGCCAGTCTCAGGCCATGTTGTACACATTTTGGTCATTATTTGGTAGCTGTGAGGTAATTCAAGTTTGATCTAGAAATATGGAGAGAACTAATGGTTAAATCAATAGTAAAAGCATCAATTTTGTCTCCAATTATTGCTCTTTGAGTGTAATTTGTTTCACCTGCAGGAAAAAAGAGCAATTCCTTGCTCAAATCTCAACTTTCGAAGTCCCCAAGTTTGGTAAGATACCAAATGATTTATTTAATTGTCTACTGTCTTCTTAGCACCATAAAAAATATAAGGGGTTTGATCAAAATTGAATTGTCGGTTTGATGCAAATGGATTTAGATATCCAACTGATCTATACACACCAAGGGATTTGTGCACACTAACTGATCTGTGCACATTTGATTTCAATGCCCAAATGATTTAGTGTACTTTTTGCTTGGAAGTCAAGTGCTTCTTGACTGCCATTTATAGGTAGGATTGAAATTATGTAGGGTGTGAATTTTTGTTAGAAATTGAACCTTGAGTTTCGAAAGTAACAATTTTTTATGTGTAAAACTTACCTATAACTGATACTATCGGTTTAGCAGGAAATTTTAAATATTCATATGATGTTATGGTGACAAAAAATACAACATTACAAGTCCATGCAACTTTATTTATTATCCTAAGGTTTTGCTTCAGTCCTTGCTGAAGCAAGTCTTCCTATTAAGGTCAGTCACCATTTTTAGGACCTTTTGGTTTAAGGCCAAAGGTAGTAAAAGGGTTGGGGTGGGTTAGAGGTGTGGTAAGTTAGAGTTTGGGCTTGAAATTGGTGAATGTGGTGATGTTGTGAATTGTAACTTGGTTATATAATTTCCGAAGAGGAGAAAAAAAATGATTCTAGGAAAACACGTAGAACCTTAAGCTTCATCCTTGCAATGATGAAGCAAACATCATACCAACATTATCTCTTTATTTGAAAAATTCCTTTTCGACATCAGTTCTTGAGGACATTTCCTGTTTTGTATGGTGTCATGTATTTTCTCACTGCATTGCCCATTAAACTCCATCACATCTGGCTCTGAGTTCTTATTTTGGGTTTAATTTTAATCTTACCTCATATTTGATATTGTAATGATAATAGGTCCTATTGAATAAGATATAATTTACTTTTTCTCATTAATGTTTTGAACATATTTTTCAGGACCCAATGGCCAACGTTAGAATATTCAACAATGTGTAAGTTTCCATGGTTATACAAAGTTTCTTGGTTATACAATATTTCTTGATATACGATTATAGCAAGGTGGTTTTTTTTTTCATGTTTTTGTTGGTATGATGTTTTTGTTAACAGGATAATTTTGTTTTCTCTACTAACTATTTGTTTTAAATTTAGCATTCATGGCGCAACTGATGTACGTCTGATGCAGTATGAATGTGGAAATCGATTACCCAGTGCACTATCATAAGGAAAGGCTGCCACTGCTAGCACAATAGCTGATGTTCACAAAAAGACATACAACTGTCTCCTGGGCAAGGTATGTTAGTTGAAAATGCATAAATAAATGGCTGCAGTAGAAAACAGTTACATGGACATCAAGTGAAGGACTCTTCTTGAATTTTTATTGAACATGCCGTTTACAAGCACAAAATTCATTTTCATTCCAATTATTTTTGTATTTGGTTGTGCTTTTGATGATATACTTAGTGTCTCATTCCCCTCTAAAGTGTGGTAAGTTGCAACCTTATGTGTGATATTTGATGGATGAACAACCTTAATTTGTTGGATCCATGATTTGATGTAGGCCTTCTTATGGTCTCTAGGTAATAGAGAACTGGACCAGGGAGAATATTAAACTCTCAGTCAATACTGCTGCCAGGTAACTTGCAGTTAACTTATTTCTATTTGTATTTTTGTATCAGCTCTAATATGTTGCTATGTGGTATATGAAATTTGTACTGAATAATTAAGAGAGGAGTTCCTTTATGAACCTTCTTCTTTATTATGTTGTACTTAGCTCGTGTTTAGAATGGGGATGCACATACCACTTACTCGGAGAGGCTTGGTTTGGAGACTTGGGCTGGTGATGTTCTTGGATGGGGTTTCTCTGATTTAGGTTTTTCCCTAATTTAAATCTGCTCTTTAACTAAGATAATTACAGCTTTACTTTCCTGTTTTTCGATTTACTTTATTTTGGTCCGCCTCTTTTGTTGTTGTATCTCATTTTATTTCACTTTACTAAGACTTCCCCAGTTAAGGCAGCATCAAAGTGATATCATTTGTGCCAGGTATTTTCATATATTTTTGTAGTCCTGTTCAATTGCATTTCATTTTTCTATCACTTGGCTTCATTGACCAACATATATCTTTCTGGCCAGCAAAGTTAGGTAGCAGTGTTGATGTTTGTTTTTTGTCGGAAAAAGCATTTGGCTATATTTTTGCCAGAGCTTTCCCGATGCCGACATAGGTGACATTTAATTCAAATGCCAAAAAGCACACATTCACTAACACACCCAAACACACACACTAGTCTTTAGTGTGTGTTTTTAGTTATATTTTCTTGTTTTTTTTTGTGTGCATATTTTTATTTATTACTATGTTTGTGTGTGTTTTGGTTTCTTAGAGTGTGTGTATTTTGGTGTACTAGAGTGTGTCTTTTGGTGTATGAATGCGTGTTTGGTGTATTGGTGTGTATGTGTTTGGTGTACTAGTGTGTGTGTGTGGTGCATTAGTGTGTGTATTTTGGTATATTAGCATGCGTATACGTGTTTTAGTGCATTTATATATTTGTGTGTTTGGTGTACTATAGTGCGTGTGTGTGTGCTTTGGTGTACTATAGTGCGTGTATGTGTATTTTTGGTGTATTAATGTACGATGTGCAAATTTTTTATGTATTAGTGTGTTTTGGTGTATTTGCATATTTGTGTGTGCTTTGGTGTATTAGAGTGTGTGTGTTTGTTTTACTGTATGAATGTGTGTTTTTAGTGTATTATTGGATGTGTGTGTTGGTGTATTAGTGTGTGCGTGTGTGTGTATTATGGTTGTATTAGTGCGTGTGTGTAAGTGTGTTTTGGCGTATTAGTGTATGCATATTTTTTTTTGGTGTACTAGAGTGTGTCTTTTGGTGTATGAATGCGTGTTTGGTGTATTGGTGTGTATGTGTTTTGGTGTACTAGTGTGTGTGTGTGGTGCATTAGTGCGTGTCTTTTGGTATATTGGCATGTGTATATGTGTTTTAGTGCATTTATATATTTGTGTGTTTTGGTGTACTATAGTGCGTGTGTGTGTGTTTTGGTGTACTATAGTGCGTGTATGTGTGTTTTTGGTGTATTAATGTGTGATGTGCGAATTTTTTATGTATTAGTGTGTTTTGGTGTATTTGCATATTTGTGTGTGCTTTGGTGTGTTAGAGTGTGTGTGTTTGTTTTACTGTATGAATGTGTGTTTTTAGTGTATTATTGGATGTGTGTGTTGGTGTATTAGTGTGTGGGTGTGTGTGTATTATGGTTGTATTAGTGTGTGTGTGCAAGTGTGTTTTGGCGTATTAGTGTTTGCATATTTTTTTTTGGTGTATTAGTGTGTATTTTTTTATTGTATTAATGTGTGTTTTGGGTATTGGTGTATGTATCTTTTGTGTGTTGGTGTGTGTTTGTGTTTTGGTGTAGTGTGTGGCTGTGTGCGTGTTTTGGAATATTGGTGTGTGATGGTTTTATTCTTAGCCTGGTGTTCTCTTAAATAGTCCCAAGACAACTTCTGAAGTTGCCCCCCTCTCTGTGAAAATGGAAGTCGTTGAAATTTTTGTAGGCTTATGGTAAGTTAGTCACAAATTTCACGCAAATGCCATTTCCCCCGAATATGAATGTATATTCTTATGTGTGTCAATATGTCAGTCTTTGAGTTGTGGGTTATGATTTGCTTTGGGATCAATTGCCGTGTTTTATGTATTCATGGTTCTGTACACAAAGGTTCAAGAAAGCTTCAATGTTCAGGTAGACATAGTTCATATCTTTATAATTCATTTTCTTGGATTTTTCTTTGCAGTCAATCTGTATTTTCTGTTATGTTTAATTACGGACTGATTGTATCTTTGGTTTTACATTGTTTAAGTGCTCCAAAAACATTAAAAAAAGAAAGAAAACAAAACAAAACCCATTACGAAACTAAGCTTATTGTTACCGTTCCAATACCAAAGATGTGGAATTTGTTGTATTTTACCTTGGCATACCAAAAGAGGGTAAGAAAATTGAACCTGTGCTTTATAAGTTAGTTTGTGAATTTGGAGTATTTATTCGGAATTGTATTGATCTTTTTTACTAATAGTGGTGGTGGGTTTTAGGCAATTCACGATAGTTTACATCATCACTATGTCATAGAGAAGGTTTAAATAGTTGTTTTCGATTTGGATTTTGTTTTGTTTTGGATTAAAGTGGGCTTGGTAGTTGGCCTAATTTCTGTGTGCCATATGTACTTCAGCATGATCATTTGGAGGTCACAGAAGTTGTTCCTCACACTTCCATTGGTATGTTTTATTGTTTTTATAGTTCACTGGAGAGTCTCCTTATCATAATTTACATCACCTACACTCGGTCATTTTTTGCTTTACTTTGACTTCTTTTCTTAATCATGCGTTTGTTTGGCACAATTGATTCTGTTTTTAGTGAATTAAAAATTTGATTTGTTATATCTGAGTTCCACCAACATTATTAGTCCTTCTCTTTTGGTTTTTTGTCCGAGTTTCACCAACATTATCATTCTTTGTAATTTTTTGCTACATGTTGGAGTGTGTAGGATTTGCGAGAAAGACTCAGTAATGAACATGGATTAGTTGACCGATGTGAATATGAAGGTTCTTGAAGGTAGCTTTGGGGTTTTGGAGATCCATTGTGAAAAGGAGGAGATTGTCGAGTGTCTATATTTAAGCTGTTCATTGCATTCACCCTTAGACCTCAAGAATTCTTCTGGAATATTGAATACATCTCTTTCCCTCTCTCACTCTCACACACAAGCACATAATAATTCTCAGCACTTCATATTGTTAACTTAAGGTTTGAATCTCTTACTCTAAAACTTTGCTATTTCAGGGAATGTCCATTGGAACTTGGGCATAGCTTCTTGCCATCCACTGATCGGTACTTGTTAATGAGTCCAAGAGGCATACATAGGTTTGTGAATTAATAATGATGTTTATATTTTTTATTTTCAGTATTTCTTTAAAAGTGAAATTTTGCTTTAGAAGTCAAATCCTCATCCACAATACTATCATTTCTTTTACTTATTTTTTCCTCATAATCTGTTAATCTGCTTTCTTGGTGAGCTAGTGTGGTTGAGATTATTGATAAATTGCCCATGCCAGTCTCAGGCCATGTTGTGCACATTTGGTCATTATTTGGTAGCTGTGTGGTAATTCAAGTTTGATCTAGAAATATGGAGAGAAAAAATGGTTAAATCAATAGTAGAAGCACCAATTTTGTCTCCAATTATTGCTCTTTGAGTGTAATTTGTTTCACCTGCAGGAAAAAAGAGCACTTCCTTGCTCAAATCTCAACTTCCAAAGTCCCCAAGTTTGGTAAGATACCAAATGCTTTATTTAATTGTCTACTGTCTTCTTAGCACCATAAAAAACATGAGGGGTTTCATCAAAATTGAATTGTTGGTTTGATGCAAATGGATTTAGATATCCAACTGATCTATACACACTAAGGGATTTGTGCACACTAACTGATCTGTGCACATTTGATACCACTGCCCAAATGATTTAGTGTACTTTTTGCTAGAGGTGTGGTAATTTAGAGTTTGGGCTTGAAATTGGTGAATGTGTGATGTTGTGAATTGTAACTTGGTTATATAATTTCCGAGGAGGAGAAAAAAAATGATTCTAGGAAAACACATAGAACCTTAAGCTTCATCCTTGCAATGATGAAGCAAACATCATACTGACATTATCTCTTTATTTGAATAATTCATTTTCGACATTAGTTCTTGAGGACATTTCCTGTTTTGTATGGTATCATATATTTTCTTAGTGCATTGCCCATTAAACTCCACCACATCTGGCTCTGAGTTCTTAATTTGGGTTTAATTTTAATTTTAATCTTACCTCATATCTGATATTGTAATGATAATAGGTCCTATTGAAGAAGATATAATTTACTTTTTCTCATTAATGTTTTGAACATATTTTTTAGGACCCAATGGCCAACGTTGGAATATTCAACAATGTGTAAGTTTCCATGGTTACACAGTTTCTTGCCACGATATAGCAAAGTTTCTTGGTTATACAATATTTCTTGATATATGATTATAGCAAGGCAGTTTTTTTTTTATGTTTTTGTTGGTATGATGTTCTTGTTAACGGGATAATTTTGTTTTCTCTACTATCTGTTTAAAATTTAGCATTCATGGCGCGACTGATGTACGTCTGATGCAGTATGAATGTGGAAATCGATTACCCAGTGCACTATCATAGGGAGAGGCTGTCACTGCTAGCACAAATAGCTGATGTTCACTGAAAGACATGCAACTGTCTCCTGGGCAAGGTATGTTAGTTGAAAATGCATAAATAAATGGCTGTAGTAGAAATAGTTACATGGACATCAAGTGAAGGACTCTTTTTGAATTTTTATTGAACTTTCTGTTTACAAGCACAAAATTCATTTTCATTCCAATTATTTTTGTCTTTGGTTGTGGTTTTCGTGATATACTTATTGTCTCATTACCCTCTAAAGTGTGATAATTTGCAACCTTATGTATGATATTTGATGGATGAACAACCTTAATTTGTTGGATCCATGATTTGATGTAGGCCTTATTACGGTCTCTATGTAATAGAGAACTGGACCAAGGAGGATATTAAACTCTCAGCCAATACTGCTGCCAGGTAGCTTGCAGTTAACTTATTTATATTTGTGTTTTTTGTATCAGCTCTAATATGTTGCTATGTGTTATATGAAATTTGTACTGAATAATTAAGAGAGGAGTTCCTTTATGAACCTTCTTCTTTATTATGTTGTACTTAGCTTGTGTTTAGAATGGGGATGCACATACCCCTTGCTCGGAGAGGCTTGGTTTGGAGACTTGGGCTGTTGATGTTCTTGGATGGGGTTTCTCTGATTTAGGTTTTTCTCTAATTTAAATCTGCTCTTTAACTAAGATAATTACAACTTTACGTTCCTGTTTTTCGATGTACTTTATTTTGGTCCGCCTCTTTTGTTGTTGGATCTCATTTTATTTCACTTTTACTAAGACTTCCCCACATCAAAGTGATATCATTTGTGCCAGGTATTTTCATATATTTTTGTAGTCCTGTTCAATTGCATTTCATTTTTCTATCACTTGGCTTCATTGACCAACATATATCTTTTAGGCCAGTAGAGTTTGGTAGTGGGCCTAGTTTCTGTGTGCCATATTTCATTATGTACTTCCGCATGATCATTTGGAGGTCATAGAAGTTGTTCCTCACACTTCCATTGGTATTTTTTTTTGTTTTTATAGTTTAATTTTTTTCTTCATTATATTTTTGTTATAGTCTTCTCCATGATCTTGGTTCTACCATTAATTATGTTTCTGGATTATCAGAGTCCATTTTTAGAAAATAAAAACATGCATTGGGATACTAGCAGTTAAATTGATCACTTGATATATTGACCACAATGCATTGTTTCAATGATTTTTAATTGACCTCACATTGAGCTATATAGATTCTTGTAGGTGCCATGGGTGTATCAACTTTATAGAATCAATTATATTGACAATAAATTCTACACTTGCCAAAGTTTGAGTCTTTCTCTGGGCTAGTTCTCTATATACTTGCACATTTCTACTAATTGCCAATTTTGTTATGTACGATGTTGTGCCATGTGGTACCCTAAACATTGAATTCATTTATTATCATTTTCTTTCACTTATATTTTTTGGTTATGGGGTTGTGCTTTTGTTAGTGTTCATCCTGGTGTTTATTCTTTTCCCTTTTGTATGATGTGCAATTTTGTGAATTTAAAAACTAAAGGCTTTTGCTAGGTGAAGGTATGCCCTTCCTTTATCTCTTTTATTGAAGAGTATGTTTGACAATCATGCAAAAAGAAAGCTTATAATGCCTTTCCTGTGAGCCTTTTGAAAGCCTTGTCTTTGAGTTTGCTAGAGGTCCCTTGGGTGAGAACTTCATCCGTTTGAATTTAGTGTCGTGGTTCTCTATATATCAGTTTTTATTTTTCATTATTTACCTTGAAGCTGAGATTAAGTGGTCTTCTAGATTTAAGGAGGTCTCTTTCTCAGGTAAGCATTTGATTATCACTTCAGAAACTTTTTACTCCTCTTTAAGTGATTTCAGTTGGTTTAGGTTTTTTTTTTGTAATTTCAATTCTTTTTTCTCATTCTTTCTTGTGGTTTAGGAGAGATTTCAGACCCTTTGAGATGCTACCATTTGCCATCTTGTGTAGTCTTGATATTATTATTTTAGTTCAAGAAGGAAAATCTTGCAGTACCTATTGCTTTTTTTTTGATATCCCTAAGTATTTTAATGGGTAGAATTACTGATGCGAAGTTATGTTTTATTTGAGAAGATTAGAAATAAGTTTGGCAATCAAGCTGCAAGATTTTCATGCTGCATTTCAATTTCATGTGCTGCACACATCTTCTTCCCTATATACTGGCACTTGGTTCAGGTAATTATTTCTGGCAGTTTAACTCTGGAGATACTCTCGACAAATGCTTATTGACCTTTTATTCCACATGTAGCTGGATATTTATTATGGTTTCTATGAACAATGCCATGTCTTTTGTACGAGATGCTATTCCGTTACCCTTTGATAGAAATCCTTTTGCTTCATAATTTTTTTTTCTTCATGTTAGTTTACTCATGGATTTCAGTACCATGAGGACGAGGAAAATGTTTTTTGCTTAAAAGCATGTCATAAAGCTCAATATGGATTTCTATTACATCGCATTTTCATTGTGTTACTTGGGCTTGAACTGCGTATCCGTATTGTTTTGAGTCTCATATAGTGGTTCTTTTTGGATGAACATGTAGATTGACAATTCTTTTGTGTTTATGTTGGTTGACGGCTTGATGGATGGTACGAATAACATGGTTGGATGGTGATTGATAAATTGCATTGGCCAACTAATGGGCCACTTTGGCTGCTTATTGTTGATTCTATGAATTTGGTTTGCTGAAACGGTAGTGGCTGAAGCTACACTAAGAAAACCCGTTTTATCTTTCTTTTTCTTCTCGTTTTTTATTCATAGATGGAGCTAGAAAATATGCTGACAAATGTTAGGGGAGTTGGAAGACTAGAATCAACTGGCAATGAGGTATTGACAAAGGAAATGGTCGCTTGTATTTTAGCAAAATATATGGCCCCTCACAAAACTGAAGTAGTGAAAATAAAAGATTCATGCATGTGTGAATTTCTGCGTTCATTGACATTTTTGCAGCTTTAGGGTAAGTTATCGCAAATTTCACTTGAATGTCATTCGAGTAATTTTCTCTACTTCAAAATAGGTATGTGTATTCTTTTATATGTATCAACATTTTTGATGAATTTGGAATTGTTTTTTAGGTCATCTTTTGCTTTTGGGATCAATTGCTTCATCTTATATATTTATGGTACTGCATACAAAGGTGAATGGTTGAAGAAAGCTTCATTGTTCAGGTACACAGTCACTTTTTATTTCACCAGTTCAAATCTTTAGATTTTCATTTCTTAGAATTTTCTTGGCAACCAAACTGTGCGTTCCATTGTGTTTAATACCTGAAATATTGAATCTTTGTTTTTACATTGTTCAAGTGCTCCAGAAAGTAGGAAAAAAAGACCTACTACATTGGGGGACTGGGCTTTTTGTTACTATTCCAATTTGAAAAATTTGGAATCTCTTGTAATTCTAAGCAAACAGAAAGAGGGTATGAAAATTGAAGTTGGGTTGTAAAGTTATTTTATGAATTAGAAATATTTATTCAAAAAGGTACTGATCTTTTATATTACTTTTGGTTTGAATTAGGTAATTCATAGTTCTTGATATCATCATGTAAATCCACTTATCTCTGTCTTTAATTTGTTTGTTGTCTTGTTTTTTTTCATACAATCGTGTTTGGCTATCTTAACTTGACCAATTCGGTGTCAAACACAAGTGTGTTTCTTGAGCCGCCCATAGACCCTTATATCAAATCTATTGATTGTGGAGTGTTGATTCTATGCAAAGAAGTGTTGAATTTGGTTTTAATGAATTTCTTAATCAAGGTTTTAGCATAACATCAGTTTTTTAATTCATCATTGAATGAAAAAAAAAATGAATCCTCCATTGGTTTGAGGGAATCAATCTTTTGTTATATTATGATTTAGACCACAATCTTTTGTTACATATTATTTTTTATCATCACACAAGTATTTTGTATAAACGTAGGTATAGCAACCGAAGAGGGTGGAATTACAAGGTGCTATGAACCGTGAGGTAAATTTTCTAGAATTTCTAGAATTCTTGTTTATTTTGATTTATGAGGCCAGAATGTATGATATTTGATGGATTAACAATCTTTGATATACTGTAGGATCTGAAAAGATAAAATAATAAATGAAGCAATTGATAGAGAGTTAAGACTAGTCACCATTTTTAGGACCTTTTGGTTTAAGGCCCAAGGTAGAAAAAGGTTTGGGGTGGATTAGAGGTTTGGTAAGTTAGAGTTTGGGTTTGAAATTGGTAACTGTGGTGAGGTTGTGAATTGTAACTTGGTTACATAATTTCCAAGAAGGAGAAAAAAAATGATTCTAGGAAAACACGTAGAATCTTACGCTTCATCCTTGCAATGATGAAGCAAGCCATGCCAACCGACATTATCTCTTTATTTGAATAATTCCTTTTCGACATCAGGTCTTGAGGACATTTCTTGTTTTGTATGGTGTCATGTATTTTTTCAGTACACTGCCCATTAAACTCTATCACATCTGATTCTGAGTTGTTATTTTGGATTTAAATTTAATCTTACCTCATATTTGATATTGTAATGATAATAGGTCTTAATGAAGAAGATATAATTTACTTTTTCTCATTAATGTTTTGAACATATTTTTCAGGACCCAATTGCCAATGTTGGAATATTCAACAATGTGTAAGTTTCCATGGTTATACAAAGTTTCTTGGTGTGATATAGCAAAGTTTATTGGTTATACAAAGTTTCTTGATATACGAGTATAGCAAGGCGATTTTTTTTCCTGTTTTTGTTGGTATGATGTTATTGTTAACATGATAATTTTGTTTTCTCTACTAACCATCTGCGTTAAATTTAGCATTCATGGCACGACTGATGTACATCTGATGCAGTGTGAATGTGAAAATCGATAAACCAGAACACTATCATAGGGAGGCTGCCTCTGCTAGCACAGTTGCTGATGTTCACTGTATGACTTGCAACTGTCTCCTGGGTAAGTTATGTTTGTTTAAAATGCATAAATAAATGGCTGCAGTAGAAACAGTTACATTGACATCAAGGGAAGGACTCTTCTCGAATTTTTATTGAACATTCCGTTTACAAGTACAAAATTCATTTTCATTCCAATTATTTTTGTTTCTAGTTGTGGTTTTGGTGATATACTTATTGTCTCATTACTCTCCGAAGTGTGATAAGTTGCAATCTTATGTATGATATGCGATAGATAAACAACCTTAATTTGTTGGATCCATGATTTGATGTAGGCCTTCTTACTGTCACTATGTAATAGAGAACTGGACCAGTGAGAATATTAAACTCTCAGTCAATACTGCTGTCAGGTAACTTGCAGTTAACTTATTTCTATTTGTATTTTTGTATCAGCTCTAATATATTGCTATGTGGTATATGAATTTTGTACTGAATAATTAAGAGGGGAGTTCCCTTATGAATATTCTTCTTTCTTATGTTGTACTTAGCTCTTTATAATGGGGATGCACATACCCCTTGCTCGAGGCTGGTTTGGAGACTTGTGTTGTTGATGTTCTTGGATGGGGTTTCTCTGATTTAGGTTTTTCCCTAATTTTAATTTGCTCTTTAACTAAGATAATTACAGCGTTACTTTCCTATTTTTTGATGTGCTTTATTTTGGTCCGTGTCTTTGTTGTTGTATCTCATTTTATTTCACTTTACTAAAGACTTCCCCAGTTTAATGCAGCGTCAAGGCGATATCATTTGTACCAGGTATTTTCATATATTTCTGTAGTCCTGTTCAATTGCATTTCATTTTTCTATCACTTGGCTTCATTCACACTTGCAGGACTTCACTTTATGTTCCTTGTAGCTATATTAGTATTCAACCCTCAATGTTTCAACTTCTAAGTTGGATTACTTACGTTTATATGACAGCTTTGGAAGTCTTACATAAGAAGGCCGATGATACTAGTTGGACCAAGTCTTGGTGCTGCCATTGCAATTGATTTTACGTTCAATTTTCTGGAAGCTGTAAGAATTTCATTCAAGCTAGTGTTGCATCAATTAAGTTCATATTCATGCTGCATGCAGTGTGGGTCCATAGTCGCATTAATTGCAGTTAATTCAAGTTTAATTCTGAAATACAATCCCACATCCCAAATATATGTTGTTCGTGAAGTTCTTGTGTTAGCTGTTGTAGAGCTTCCTAACAGTAATTCCAACAGGATTGAAAACCTTAAGGTGATTTGGGCACAATATGAAGTAATGTGGGATCCAAGTAATGTCTCACAGGAAGTTATTGGAAAAGTTTCGAGTGATTGAATCGATTCTTTGTCCTTGCCCTTTCAAATGAAGAGCCTTCTGAATTCTAAATAATATAGGATTCACAAACATTGTAGCACCCTTTTTGTCAGAGAATTTGGTTATCCCTCTCCAATATGAAGAGTGTTGAGAGGGGTTGTAAGCACACCTGCCTCTAATTTATAAAGTAGAATTTTAATTGAGAGCAGTCTGCCCTGCAGTCTGCAAACTGTGCTGGACAAAGAGTAACTATGGTCGCTAACGATCAATAATTCACTGTTTTAGTACAATCCTTAAACTAAAACTAATTACTAGAATACCATGCATGTCATAAATGACATGTTTGTTTCCTTCAAACCATATTAATCTGTTTTTGCCTGATGGACACAATTTGGTTGTTAGTTCGAATTTGCTGTTGTTGCATCTATTCTACTGGCAGTTGCAGGGCTCAAAAACATTGAGATTGTAGTTTCATGGTTCACTCAAGATGAAGCTCTCTGAGATTTAGCACGGTGCATGCAGTGACACTTTAGTTTCATGATGACATGTATTTATGTTTTTGAATTTAAGATTTTATGTGGATAAATTGTGTAGAGTTTAACTTTTTGGAATTGCATAGAGTTTATATGAATTGACAAACTGTGGTCAACATATATCTTTTTGGCCACCAGAGTCCGGCAGTAGTGTCGGTGTTTGTTTTCCATTGGAAAAAGTGTTAGGGTATATTACTCAAACGTCGAGTATTAGAATTGCAATTGTTTATTTGGTTTTTTTTGGCGTTTACTCTTTCAATTTGTTTTGTAGTGACAAATACAATAACACACATGCACACATTAATGCACCCACACACGCGCACATTAATGCACCTCCACACACACTAGTGTTTAGTGTGTATTAGTTTGTGTTTTTAGTTGTATTTTTGTATTTTTTGTGTGTGTAATTTTTTATCTATTATTATGCATGTGTGTGTTTTGATTTTTTAGTGTGTGAGTTTTTTGGTGTATTAGAGTATGTGTATTTTGGTGTGTGAATGCGTGTTTTGGTGTATTAGTGCGTGTATGTGTTTGGTGTATTAGTGTGTGTGTGTGTGGTGCTTTAGTGCGTGTGTTTTTGTGTATTAGTATGCGCATATGTGTTTTCGTGTATTAACATATTTGTGTGGTTTGGTGTAGTATAGTGCGTGTATGTGTTTTGGTGTATTAATGTGTGATGTGTGTATTTTTGATGAATTAGTGTGTTTTGGTGTATTTGCATTTGTGTGTCTTTGTGTGTGCTTTGGTGTATTGGAATGTGTGTGTTTGTTTTATTGTAATAATGTGTGTTTTTAGTGTATTATTGGATGTTTGTGTTGGTGTATTAGTGTGTGGGAATGTGTGTATTATAGTTGTATTAGTGTATGTGTGCCTGTGTTTTGGCGTATTACTGAGTGTGTATTTTTTTGGCATATTAATGTATGCTTTTTGGGGTATTGGTGTATGTATCTTTTGTGTGGTGGTGTATGTTTGTGTTTTGGTGTGTTAATGTGTGTGGCTGTGTGCGTGTTTTGGAATATTAATGTATGTGATTTATTTTTAGGCTGGTGTTCTCTTAAATAGTCCTAAGACACCTTCTGAAGTTGGCCCCCCTTTCTCTCTCTCTCTCTCTCTCTGTAAATATGGAAGTCAGTGAATTTTTTGTAGCCTTATGGTAAGTTTGTCGCAAATTTCACTCGAATGTGATTTTGTTGGAATATGGATATTCATGTGTGTGTCAATATGTCTGACGATTTGTAATGGTCTTTGAGCTGTAGGTTATGATTTGTTTTTGGGATCAATTGCTGCGTTTAATGTATTTATGGTTCCATACACAAAAGTTGAAGAAAGCTTCAATGTTTAGGTAGACATTCACTTTCTCTCACCAGTTCATATCTTTATAATTTATTTTCTTGGAATTTTCTTTACTGCCAATCTGTGTTGTCTTATTGTGTTTATTTACGGACTGGTTGTATCTTTGGTTTTACATTGTTCAAGTGCTCCAAAAACATTAAAAAAATTTTAAAAGAAAACAAAACCCATTACGAAACTAAGCTTATTGTTTTGTACTTTAGCATGATCATTTGGAGGTCACAGAAGTTGGTCCTCACACTTCCATCGGTATGTTTTAGTGTTTTTGTAGTTTAATTTTTGTCTTCATTATATTTTATTATATTCTTGTCCATGATCTTGGGGTTTACCATTAATTATGTTGTTGGATTATAGAACATCTCCAGCAATAAAAGTTAGTTTAGTTACTCAAAAAACAATATTTTCTATTTTAGCTATTTACTTTTTCAATACACCCTCCAATAAATTTTCTATATTTTTAACTACTTTCTTTGATTATTATTTCTCATTCCCTTGAATATTATTGTATCATATGACTTGGAATTAGTTGTACGTTATTTTGGAATACAAAAATAGGATATAAAAATTGAAGCTGGGTTTTTTAAACTATTTTGTAGATTTGATGTATTTACGGAATTGTATTGATCTTTTTTACTAATATTTGTTTGATTTAGGCAATTCACGATATTCTATATCATCCCCATCACTTTGAGAAGGTAAACTCAGTTGTAGTTGTTTTCAATTTGTTTTTTGTTCTGTTTTGGATTAAAATGGGTTTGGTATTGGTCCAAATTTCTTTGTGTGATACATGTCTTTATGTACTTTCAATATGATCACTTGGAGTTCTCTAGAGTTGTTCCTCACACTTTCATTGGTATGTTTTATTGTTTTTGTAGTTTAATTTTGGTTGATATTATTTTCTGTCATAATCATTAATTATGTTGTTGGATTATTTGATTCCATTTTGAGAAAATGAAAACTTGCGTTGTGATACAAGTTAAATTGATCACATGATGTACTGACCACAATGCATGGATTCAATGATGTTTAACTGACTTCCCATTGAGCTATACAAATTCTTGTAGGTGCCTTGGTTATTTCAATTTTGGCGTCACTGATTATATTGGCATTGAATTTGTTACACTTGCCAAAGATTTACAATCTTTTTGCAGGTTAGTTCTTTGTACCTTTCAAATGCTTGCCAATTTTCTTATGTAAGATGTTATGCCATGTGCTACCCTGGATATTGAATACATTTATTTATCGTTTTTTATTTTCATTTATATTTTTTGGAGGTGGTCACGCTAGTATTAATGTTGGTCCCGCTGTTTATTCTTTTCCTGTGCTGTGCAGTTTTGTGAATTTAAAAATGAAAGGCTTCTGCTAGGTCAAAGTGTTCCTTTTCTTTATCTTTTGTTAAAAAAGATGCTTAATAATCAAAAAGAGAGCTCATAAAGACATTTTCTTTGATGGTAAGGAAAAAGGACATTGTATTTATGCTCAAGACATTATTTGCCTTGATAAAGGTATTAAAATGTGAAGCTATATGCTTCCATTGATACAATTAATTTTGTGTTGGTAGGTCTGGACAAAATAATATGTTAATTATCTGCTTAATTTGGTTAAACTTCTGAAAAAGGTAAGCATACTAGACATGATTAAGATTTGGTTCGCGCTATATTTTGTTTATTCAACAAATACTAACCAAATCAGAATAGTTGGACACATGGAGTTCTTTTCTTCAAATTTTAACCACATGTCCAGCAATTAGAATAGCAATTATGCTGGCTGACATCTTCTTGTGCTGTCTCTTTTTGAACTTTGTAGGGTGATAACTTGTTCTTTGCTTTAACTTGTTCCTTATTTGATCTTGTTATAAATACCCTTTTTTTAGAGATAAAATGTTCTTATGCTTGCTACAGCATCTCATGCCACAGGGCTTGATATTTTATTTTGGGATTTAGTTAGAAATGTATTAACTATAATCTAGATCTTGGAAACATTTGTTTGTGCACAATTACTTTTCTCATGATTCGTCTTCTGTGGCAGTTTTTTTTTTGTCAAGCTCTAGTTGACATTAAGAAGTAATATATGTGTCTCAGCTACTCGTTGGTCTCATATGTTCATTTTTTCTTGGTTTGTATTCATTTTTTTTGGGTACATTGGAAAAGAAACAAGGTTGCTTTTGATTCCTAATAAATCAGGTACTAGCTAGGTCCATTGTTTGATTTCCTTAAGCGGATTTTTTAGGATAGAGAGCTCCTCGTTCTGATTCTGTCCCAGGTTTGAAAGTCCATCTGAACACTGGTTCCCTTCTCTAAGGGTGTGCAGAATTTCAACGGGGAAGTTTGGATCAAGTTCTTGCAGTTAGAGATCAACGCTTGATTCAGGTAATCTCTTGCTGTCTGGTTCTAGAGTTGGTTGTATGCTTCTAATGAATCCATCTTAGGAACCACTTTGGGGAATCCTTGCTCCTGCACTGGCTTCAGAGCTCTGCCTTAATGCTTGTGGAGTGGTCCATCCTACCATAGAATCCTTTGATCCAGTATCCTTGCTCATTTCTAATTTATCCTCCAATTACTGTCGTCCCTGGATTGCCTTTCAAGCACCTGTCTGTATTCAGTTTTAGCTAACCTGCAGGGGGAAAAGACTTACCATCAATCTGCTAATTCTTTGCTGTGTCACTATACCCTTGATCTGGAAAACATTCACCACTTCTGAAGCAAAATTCCAGGCTTGTCTTGCCACCATGTGGGGGATTGAGGTGATGTTCTTAATGCTTTCTTTGTTGCTGTCTTTCCAAATGTGCCATTGTATACAAGTAAAGAGAATAGGCCATGGCCCACTGGTGTAGCATTGAGGAGTTAATAGATCATTTTTGTTTTTAGGTCAGTGTTCTCTTAAACAGTCCTAAGACACTTGAAATATCTCTGTTTGAAACAATTGGAGCTTTGCCCCTGTAACAGTGGCCATTGTTGATAATGTTTCTCACTTCTCTCTGGCTGTTAACAAAAGTTTTTTAATCATTCAGTGTCGATATCAATATCGTGATGATTTTAAATGTCAGCATTTTGGAGCTTGACATGACCCACTGGTGTAGCACCGAGGATTTAATAGATTGTTTTATTTTTAGGTCGTTGTTCTTTTAAACAGTCCTAA